TATTATTTTTTATTTAAGTTCTCATTATTTTTATCAATAAAGTGTTTGATCGAATAAAGTTACCTTCCATTTTTTAATTATAAACGAGTTAGATAAAACTTGGTTAATTAGTCAAACTCAAATTAAGTCTTGGTTTGGGACAGCTTTCTTATTGCTATATAGGATGGTTTTTTAGTACAAAAATTTTTAATTCAAAAAAAATTTTATACTAAAAAATTATTTTAGAAAGCAATAAAAAAACTGTCCCAAACGAAGCCTAAGAGTTACTTGAATTTGGCCGATTTATTTGTACTCTCTTAATTTCTGATCAACATCATTCCTAATATAGATAATTTGACTTAATATGATATGGTGCAAAAAATTAGTTTTCAAAATCAAAATCCATAGTTTCATAGATCACATTTCTTCAATTTAAACAAATAATTAGGTTTCTTTCATGAAAATACAAAAGTTTAAATTTCTTACTAATAATACCTTAAAGGTCACATGATAAAAATCTTATATAGAAATCTAAGATAATCAGAAGCTACCCCTCGAGTAAGAATCATGTTGATTCCAAAATTTTTTTGGGGGTAACATCGTAATCTTATTGACATGATTCACTAAAGTACATAGAACAAATAATAGATAGACGAAGAGAGAACAATAAAGTGGAAGTGTTCCCATCAAAAGCATTAACAGAAGAGGAAGGAGAGTGATTATTCACCTCATCCCCTCTCTTACTGCTTCGGTGTCTGTTGAGGAAATTAGAAGCATTATCTTCTCTGGTAAAGGAAACTTGGCACTTGGTCCTGATGAGTTCACGTATGATTTCTATAAATCTACTTGGAGTATTATTAAGCAGCAATTGTGTCATGATATTACTCAATTTTTCTCTACTGGTCAAATGCCTAAGTTGGTGAAAGCAACTGCTATTGCTTTAATTCCCAAACTTCATCATGCCAGTAATGTCAAAGATTATAGACCCATCTCACTTTGTAATGTCATCTACAAAATTATTGCTAAAATCATAGCCAATAGGATGAAAGATGTGCTTCCTTTCATCATTCACCCAAGTCAAGGTGGTTTTATTCATAAGAGGATCATTACTTATAATATCCTACTTGCAGCTGAGCTCCATGGGAACTTTAATCACAAAGGCAAAGAAAAATATTTTTGTGGCAAGTATGACATTAACAAGGCCTTTGACACTGTCTCGAGGAGTTTTTATACAAAAGAATGGATGATAAGGGGTTTCCTGATTTGTTTATCAATTGGGTTAAAGCTTGTACTGCTGACATTCATTTCTCTATTTGTATCAATGGTGCTCTGGAGGTGTTCTTTAGCTCCTCAACTGGTCTTCGTCAAGGTTGTCTACTATCCCCCTACCTGTTCAGTATTGTTATGGATGGGTTCTCCTCATTCATTGACAATGCCACCAGAAATTATACTTTTAATGCTTTTACCATTGGTAACTGTTCTATCTCTCATCTTATGTTTGCTGATGACCTGTTAATTTTTAGTAAAGCTACTATTGCTAATGCTTCCTCCCTTAGCTCTATCCTGGAGAATTTTGGCAATGTCTCTAGCCTCTTTATCAACCCCAATAAAAGCACAATTTTATTCTCTAAAAACACCTCCCACACCACTGAAATTTGTGACTTGCTGCAGATTAAGCACGCGGATACTCCCATTAAATACCTTGGCCTTCCTTTATTCACCAAAAATCTGAAATTCCAGGATTTCCAACCCCTCATCCAGAAAATTGCTGCCTCCCTTGATGGTTGGAAGGCCTAACTGTTATCCTTTGCTGGCAGGATCCAGTATCTTAAATTCACTATCTATAACACGATTGCCTACTGGATTAGGGGTTCTATTATACCAAAAGGCTTCGTATGTGCTCTCGTTTCCTTTACTTTGGAAATATTAACCTCAAGAAATTACACATTATCTCGTGGAAAGATACCTGTATGCCTAAAGCTTTGGGAGGATTGGGTATCCCATCTATTGACATTCTTTACCATAACTTTGCTTGTTTTATTATACGGAGGTTTCTGCACTCGAGCAATTCCAGAAACCTTCTCTTTGACTGGTGGCACTATACTTATCAATCTTTATGGAAACCTTTGTCTGTTAAGGGTTCTAAATACTGGAAATTTATGTATAACAAGGCTGCTGATATCAAACATTGCATTTCTCTAAGCATCTATCCTGATAGTAAATTGTCCCTGCTTTGGGATCCTTGGTGCAATGGCTCCTCCATTGATGATCTGTTGAATGAGGATCAGTCTATCTCTTTAGATGCTTTTGCAAACTGGAATGTTGGAAATATTTTGCTGGGCAACAATTGGGCATTACCTTTGTGTTTTGAGGATAACATTGCTGCGTTGATACTTAATGTCCACATCCTTCCCCAGTTTGAACCTCATCTTTGGTTGAACAATTTTTATCCTACTTTCAAGAACTTCACTGCTCAATTTTACAGTAACTGTGCCCCTATTCCGTGGTCTAAGCTGGTTTGGCACAAGCATTCTTCGCTCCGTTTTTCTGCTTATTCTTGGCCGTCGTTTAAAAACGGATTGAAAAAACTGATGTTTTAAGCTCTCGTGGAATTGGCACTACAAGTATCTGTGTTTTTTGCAATTTGGAGCTTGAGTCTGCTGCTCACCTTTACTTTGAATGTAGCTTTACTTTTGCCATTATTAAGTCTTTTCTGCCATGGTTGGCTGGTCACTTTTTGAGACCCAATCTTTTTCTAGCATTACATAGTATTCTCGAACAAGGTTTTTCCCAGGCCAGGATTAATTACCATCTGTTGGCTGCCTGTGCTAACATCTATTATATATGGCGTGCTAGAAATGACAGAAAATTTGGAGGTATTGTGGATTCTCAAGCAACTATCACAGCAAAAATTTCAAAGGCCATTGCACGCAAAACTGCTAACTGGAAGAGTTTTTGATTTTTTGCTCCCTCTTCCTGATGCTGGGCGACTGATCGGTGATATAGGACGATGATGAATGTTGTCTTCACAGCTGCCCTTTGGACGGTCCTTGTGGCAACCAAGGGCCCGCTCTTGAGGTCCCTCCGAGATGCCTTTCGATCATTTTCAAGAGCTCCTGAGTCATATTAAGCTTTATGTTTATATGTTCTTGCTCAATGTTGTTTTATGTCTTTCCAGTTTTTGTGTCTAGGTTCATTTTTGTTCTTTGTGAACCTAGATTATAGGTTTCTACTTTTCTGAGTCTCGGACTCTATTTGTTTTGAGTGCCAAGACTATAGTTTTGGTTCATTTTACTTTTGTAATCCTCTTTTTTCAATATACGGACTTTGCCCCAAAAATTCCCCAAAAAAGATTTAGTAGAAGAAGATTTGAAATTTCATTGGATTGCTAGAAATATAAAAAGTTAATGGCCAAGACCTCCTATTTGCAGGTTTAAGCTAGGGCTTTTGGTGCTACTAAAAAATACTTTTGCTTTTAGCATGGTTGTGATTTTTTTTTTTTTTTTTTAATTTTGACGTTTTAGGCTCTCTTTTAGACAATTTTTTAATGTTTTTTAGTACACAAATTTCTAATTTAAAATATTTTTATATTGAAAAATTATTTTAAAAAATAGTAAAAAAGCTGCTCCAAACAAAGCAGTAGGGCATCTCCAATTGAAAAACTCAATTTTCACTCCAAAATACAGTAATACTTCAAAATACATTAACTGTCTCCAATCAAACTTCATTTTATAACAAAAAAAAAAAAATTATGTGTATGTTTTTTCTCATACTTTATTTTATAATTTTTAATCTAATTTTTAGATTTAAAAAATATTTAGCAGAGGAAATCGATTAGTTTAGTTGGCGTCCTTTATCTTCAATAGGGAGGCTTATGGGTTTGAAATATTGCATTAAATTGATAAGTATTATTATTATACCCATACTATCACAACTCTCAAATATTTATTATAGGAATAAACAATAGTTAGTTGTAATATATTTTAGTTATTTAGGATATTTTATTTTATTTTGTGTATTATTATTATTATTATTTTGCTCTTGTTTATATATATGCAGTCTTGTATTATCTTAGTTATTGGATAAATGTGTGATTTTTTATAGTCTAATATGATTTAGGAGCCAATCTAATCTTATCTCCTCCTCGAGACTCTCACATCTCTATCTTTACTCATTTCATACATCCAACAACCCATCAACCATTTTTTCATCTTAATAGTAACTACTTATTCTTCTCCTAATTTGAAACCCGACTAAAACCCAAGTTGAAAAATTTCGAGATCGCGTCAACATGTTTGCCGTACATGTTGGGTTCGGGTTTAGGATTCCAACCCGTTTATAAAACTGGGTCGGGTTTTGGTTGACCCAAAAAACCGAAATCAATCCGGGTGTGACCCACGAGCACTGCTTCCCACATCGTCCCGACTACGACACATTGCGTTGCGTCAAGTGTGTCACTCCTGCAATTGGCCGCTGCCTCGCACCCCCATGCCTCGGCGGCTCAGACTTGCGTGACAAGCCTGAAATCCTAGTACAGACTCAGCTCGTCCCCCGCACGATCGACCTCGCATGCGACGTCAGCACCTACCTCCCTGCGCTCACCCGCAACTCGCTATAGTGCAACCCCCGACTGACTGGCCTCAATTACAATGCATCTGACTCGGCCATGATCCACCTAGCCCTCCCGTCCCAAATCAATTTAGGTTGGATCCCAACCCAATATGTTTTACGGTTTTACCCCTACACATATAGATAACTTACCACCAATGACTCCCTCAAATTGATAAGACCCATAATTTTCTTTTTAACTTAATTTGTCATGTTACTTTGAGTTTATAAATTATCATATTTGCTAAATATTTATAAAAACTAAGAATGTAGCAGTTTTACATGATTCTATTTGTTATTATTTTATCTTTATTTATATAAACAATACGCAAACCATCCTACTAAATGAGTAAAAATTGAGCCCAATTATGACCTCTAAATTCAATTGGGTTAGCCATTTATTTTTGATTTGGTAGGGGTGCGCCAAGCTCATGCAATAGTGCAACGCAAGAGCGACGCTCAAGAGCCCCAGCAGCAAGCTACTGTGATGGGCCCTTCCCCAACAAAAATTAATTTAATATCATAGTGGACTTATAGCCCACGTATCAGATATTAAACTGATAAGAACAGATACTACACTTGATCTTAGCCAAAAGGCCGAGAAAGGTATGATTTGCAAAGCCATTTTCAGCATCTTTTATACTACAATGACGCCGCGCTGTGGTTTTGTTTGACGATGTGGGACTAAAATGATGAGTACCGCCTAGAGCTATTGCATAGCCGCGAACTCAGATAATTAAGATAGTTGGAAAATTTCAGTTGATTTTTCACTATTTTTTATTCTAAGAAGTTTCGAGAATTATTCAATTTGCATGTTTATTAACCTTCTGTAACATCATATGGAGATCGTATTAAAGATCAAATTAATTTGTTTTGAAGGGATTAGGATTAAAAAGACAGCTAAAAAACTGTTACCTATGTTTAACTATTTTAGTATGTTTAACTATTTTAGTTCTTGGTTAGAATTAGTATTGGCTCTATAGGTAACAATCTAATATATTTCATTTGAGAAAAAAAGATTTATTTTATTAGTAAAAGAAAACTTGAATTCTTTCAACCAAAGTTCATAACAAATAATTAGTGTATTTTAAGAATAAATCATTAGTATTTGTATATTAGTGGCCCGATTAAAAATTAGATTTGATTTTATTATCTTTTTTTCTACTTCAATATTTTGTATAAAGTATTAATTTTTTTTAAATACTTAATATTTTATGTTTGTATTATTAACTATTGTTGCGTCCTGAAATATTCGCGGCGGTAAAAAAATATATAGTTTAACGTCTTAGCATTGTACGAAGATCCAACACATAATCAGATAAGTGAGAGGGTGTAGCGTTCATAAGAGACACCAGAGTTTTTGCATGGAAAACCCCTAAAAGGGGGAAAAACCATGGGGCCTAGCCTAGTTGAAAATGATTCCACTAGAATTTGAGTAGGTTACAAAGGACTGAATCACCTCTAAGGGTGATCAGATTACAATTAGTAACTGTTCGATAGGAGTCTGGTGTTAGACCCGGCATCACCTGGAAGTTTGAGTGTTAGTTGGTAGTCTGGCCTTGAACAGAACTTCGGGCCATGAGCAGAACGTTGGGCCTTCGGCAGAACGTCGGGCCTTGAGCAGAATGTTGGGCCTTGAGCAGAGCGTCGGGCTTTGAGCAGAGCGTCGGGTCTTGAGAAGAATGTCGGGCCTTGAGCAGAGCGTCAGGCCTTTAGCAGAACGTCGGGCCTTTAGCAGAATGTCGATCCTTGAGCAGAGCGTCGGGCCTTCAGCAGAACGTCGGGCCAGAATTTCTGGCCAGAACGTCGGGCCTTGAGGAGAATGTCGAGCATTGAGCAGAATGTCGGGCCTTGAGCAGAGCATCGGGCCTTGAGCATAATGTCGGGCCTTGAGCAGAGCGTCGGGCCTTCAGCAGAATGTCGGGCCAGAACGTCGGGCCTTTAGGAGAATGTCAGGCCAGAATTTCTGGCCAGAACGTCAGGCCTTGAGGAGAATGTCGAGCCTTGAGCAGAATGTTGGGCCTTGAGCAGAGCGTAAGGCCTTGAGCAGAATGTTGGGCCTTGAGCAGAGCGTCGGGCCTTCAGCAAAACGTCGGGCCAGAATGTCGAGCCAGGACGTCGGGCCTTGAGGTGGTGGTGCGGCGAAGCTCTAGCGGTGGTCCGGCGAGGCTCCGGTGGTGGTCCGGTGAAGTTCCGGCGGTGGTCCGACGAGGGTGAGGATCTCAGGTGGTGGTCCGGTGAGGCTCCAGCGGTGGTCCGGCGAGGTTCCGGCGGTGGTCGAGGAGAAGCTTCTTCCTTCTCTTCCTTCTCATCTTCCTTCTCTTCCCCTCTTTTCTTCTTGCTTCCACCCTCCTTTGTGAAGAATAAAGGCTATATTTATAGATTTTCTGGAGTGGCATGTCCAGTAAATAGGTGAGAGATCAAGGGTAAATGGGGAGTGGTTGGATGGACGGCCGGTATTGAACCCCTTGATCATGGACCGTTCGTCAGGCATTTGGAGGCCTTAGTGATGTCGGAATTCAGTGATCTTAGGCTCTTTGGATTCGTCTCGTCGAGCTGCTCGATTCGAGTATAAGATCGTTAAAATCGAAGACCGTTTGGTAACTCAAATTGTGATATGAAGCTTCCAACAGCGCTTCGGGTCCTTGATTTGGGCTCGTATTGAGTCGAATTTGGTGTCGTTGAGTTTGTATTTCTGAGACGCTCAATTTGACTGTAAGCTCATTGAAATCAGAGTTCAGGTGCTCCCGGATTTAATTTTTGAAGTTCCCAATTTGATTTTTGCCTTGAGATTCGTGCCCGATCAAGATTATTTCATGATGACGTATCAACTATATTATGCATTATTGGGCAAAATAGAAAATGATTATCACCTACACAATATAATATCTGTCGTAAAATGTAAGCTGTCTTTGATATCACCACTATCCACCAAAAATAAATCCGTACGACATATTATATTTGTTTCTCAATATACTATAAAAAAGTTTCGCTTTGTTGTGTTGATTTAATCAAAGAATTAGTTATGTTGTTTCCATTTGTTGGGACATTTAGATTAATTAAGGCAGACTCACACACATATCATATAGACAAGATTCGAACCCAAGACATCTTAGTTGGTAACCCAACAGACCAAAGTGAATTGTGTATACTCAATTTAGCCTCTACAACACTTCTTCATGGTATCATAGTTGCCAACATAAATGCTTTCCTCCTACTCTCAAAATAGACCAATCTACCTCATCCTTCCTTCTTTAGGGCCTCTCCTTTAAGTTTAGTAGCATTAATAAAGAACTGTTGTAGTGGATGATGAATTGAAATCTTTGTTTTGTTCATTTTGAATGTTGATTTCCTGACTACATAATAAAGAGTAGAGAGTGTCAAGATCTATGGGATTTAGGGACTTGTGAATTGCAGTTTTAAAGGAGTTGTATGTCGGTTGAAGATGTCGTTCAAGGGTGTACCAAATTTCTTGAACCGTAGAGGAGTAAATGACATACGGAAAAACGAAAGGTGAGATGGTGGCGAACAGAGCAGAGATCAAGTTGCGATCAATTAATTGCCAGAGGTTGTAGTCCGAGTTGGAGATGTTGGTTGGACAGATTGTAGCCTCGGTAAGATGTCAATGAAATTCATTAGCGGAGAAATGTTGGAGGAGTTGAAGCCACCATATGGCATAATTGTTATTTGTGAGTTGTGTGAGAATAATATTTTTGAGATTCAAAATAAAAAATTTTAAGGAAGTTGGGATGGTGAATTCATTGAGGGAGACAGAGAGATGGAGGCAGGAGGGAGGGAAGAAACTGATTCTTGATTTGGCATAGCCAGAGGCGAGTTTTAGTGGAAAGACGACAAATCCAGTGACATAGAAGAAGAGAGGCCGAGAGTCCTCTTTGAGATCTGATTTCCAGGGATCACTTCTTCTGTAATGAAGATTTTTCAAACCACTGATTTGATTTTGCTGAATCGGGAGAAGATCAAAGAGGGGTAGAGAAGATTTCTGATATTCTTGATTCCTTTGAGCAAGACAAGCTAAGAGAGCAGGGGGGGTCTGATACCATGAAAGACCATCGACTAGCTCATACAGAGAAAAGGAAGAGAGATGTAGAAATGCAACATATTATGTATATTGATAAAGTATAATACATGTAGGTATTTATAGGTAGTTAGAAGCAAGAAAATGAGAGAATGTCGTTGCGGTAAGCCACGTCAACATGATGACGTGGATGATATTTTAACACAACCTACTTTTTTTTTTGGATGAGAAATGATCAATGCCTTTTGGCATTCCAAATTATTATTATTTTTCTTAAGGATTCAACAATTGTGTTATGAAATTCTCAAATTAGTATACAATAATTCTTTTGTTTTGAAAATTTGCTTCTCTTAGGCTTTGTTTATCTTATTGCTTGATTTTTTATATTTCAACTACAGTTCCAATTGACTATTTTTTTTTCATTATTTTAAAAACTTGTTAAGTTAGAAATTTATTTTCTACAATAAAATATTTATTAAAATTTTTTAAAGAAGTAAAAATAAATTTGCAGAGAATGGCGAAAAATGTAATTAAGACAAAAAGGTACATACTGTGGCTGCTGGGATTCGAGCCCAGGTCTTCACGGCCACAACGTGAAATTCTTACCACTAAACTACAGCCACTTAGATGATGATTAGAACTTTTCTAATTATTTATACTGACTCAGAATTAACACTGAACTCATTTATTTCACTTAAAAAGGTATGGCAATTAAAAATATGAATGATTGTAGTTATTTTTCTATCTTATGAATGATTGTAGTTCTATTAATGATACAATAATATTATAAACATAAACTTATATCATGGCATGAACATACTAATAGATACAAAAAAAAGTATTCAATTCTATTTTTCTTTTATATTTTATTTGATCTTCAAGTGAAGCTCGTGACATCTTGATAAGAGGTGGTCACTTTCCTCGTTATTCAGGGCGAGAAGGGTTTAATGAATGGGTTTAGCCTTGAAATTATCATGTATAATGAGATCCAATTTAGAAGCTCAAGACAAGGGTCCTCGTGTTATTGAACTTCTTCACTATATGAATTGAAGGTTGATTGTTCTAGTAATTAATGTGAGATTGATTGCTATGGTGTTGCAATGAGTACCGTTATCACGAAAAATGGAGTTGCTTTTCTGCATTTATCATGAAAAATAATTTAAGTATCGATGGAAGCCCATGAAGAAAAGATAGAGATGATGTAGAAGTTTACTTGCTCACACTAAACCTAACATTATAAGGAATTTTATGCCTCGTTAAGTACATCCTTACATCTTTGATTGCTTAATTGTATCTTTAGGTTAAGGGGCTCTTTGGTAGTAGGATTTAGGTCGTATTTGAGCGAAATTCAGCCAAACAGCCTAAAATGCAAAACCAAATCTCACGGAAATCGAAAGCCGCCGTAGACGAAAAATTCCGCCTTTTCGTGCTTAATCCCGGATTTCTAAATCTTGTTTTTTGTTTGATTTATGAAATCCATTGGTTAGAGAGGAAGAGTCCACTCATTAAATATGTTTTATAGCCAAAAAGTCATACGAGATTTAATAGTATTTATCATAAATGTTACCAAACAA